CCGGAGCTTTTCTCTCGCGGGGATCGACTCACAAGCGTTTATTTACACTAAGACCGCTGCAGATGTGTGGAAAAACTGGCTGAATTTGGTCTTTAAAGATTCAACATTGACCATCTGCAGAGGTCTACACACTCGGCTAAACCAGTGCACAGTGGAGTGAAAACAAACTGGTAAAGAGTCGCTGTACTGAAAGGCCACTGGTTACCGCTAAACAATGAGATGGTGTCTGTGACCTCCTCCCCTCCAGCTACCAGTGAGCGGCAGCACTCTGCACGACCAGATCGCGATGTTGAGCCACCAGCGCTTCAATGCCCTGACCACACGGATCCAGCACAGCCTTCTGGGACGCAAGATTCTGGCCACCATTGTCATGAGGAGGGGGGAGGTCTGGGGACAGTCGTCAGCCTTGGAACCGGTAAATCTGACCTTTGGCTCAGCAATCAGAGGAAAATTGTGACGTTTGTGCATGTTTTCCCTCGTGTCAGCTGGTTTTAACAGCTCCAGAATCGGGTCACAGCAGAACCCAGAGGTAATGAGCTGCCAGAGGGTTTGACTTTCAGTACGTCTCCTTTTTTTTTCTTCTGTTAGGGAACCGTTGTGTCAAAGGGGAGGAGCTAAGCCTCAAAGGGGAGACGGTCAACGACTGCCATGCTGAAATCATCTCAGAAGGGGCTTCGTTCGGTAGAAACGGATATCATGCTCCCTTGTTGATGTTCCTCCCTCGTTTCCAAAAATACTCTCTCCTCTCCTGGAAGCAGTCTGCATGACTCTGGCGTCTAACTCGCCGTCTCTGCTCTCAGGTTTCTGTACAGCGAGCTGCTCAGGCACTACGACGGCGCCCGACGACAGCATATTTGAGCCGGGGAGGACAACAAACTCCAGATCAAACCCGACATCACCTTTCACCTCTACATCAGGTGGAGAGAATGCTCCATGTGGCGAATTCTGCGTGTCCCGTTGACGTCGGCGTCTCATTCCCGTTCTTTCACCCGCAGCACGGCGCCTTGTGGGGACGGAGCTCTGTTCGACAAGTCCTGCAGCGAGGCGGGAGACGACGCTCAAGGCCACCAGCCTCTGTTTGAGAATGCGAAGCAGGGCAAGCTTCGTACTAAAGTGGAGAACGGTGAGACACCCGGTGATGGTTTTTATAGAGCAGGTCTGGCGGCTGGAGTCCCTGCATGTGTGTGTGCTGCTGTCTCCAGGTGAGGGCACCATCCCGGTGGAGTCCAGTGCCATCGTCCCCACCTGGACGGCATCCAGCACGGCGAAAGGCTGCGGACCATGAGCTGCAGTGATAAGATCATGCGCTGGAACGTGCTCGGCCTCCAGGGGGCGCTGTCTCCCTGCTTCTTGCATCCCATCTACCTGAAGTCCATCACACTCGGTAAAGCTGGTGAGATTTAACGTCCGCTGAGGTAGACGACTCCGGCTCTGACGTCACGTCTCCTCCCAGGTTACCTGTACAGCCACGGTCACCTGACCCGCGCCGTCTGCTGCAGGCTGGCCAGAGACGGTGAAGACTTCTCCAACAGCCTCCCGCCCTCCTTCCGGTTGAACCACCCAGAGGTGATGTACAAGTTTATTTTCTACAAAGTCAGACACAAACATGAATCAGAGACATCGAGGTCATCCTCATTAAATGCAATAATTAATCCGACCCGCCGCTGTTTTCATCTAATGTAAATGAAACTCGTCCATCAATTAGCAAAAAGTAGAGCAGTCCCCGTCCTGCCGCCTGGAAGAAATGACAGGGATACACTCGCTGGCAGCTGCACGCCTCTTAAGACGCCGAACGCCGCGGCGGCTTTCCACCGACGCTCACTCGTTTGGAATTTTCTGACCTGCGTTAAATGTTGAACGTACGTCTCTCCTCCTGGCTGGACCGTAGGTGGGCAGAGTCAGCGTGTACGACTCCACGCGCCACACAGGGAAGACGAAGGAGTCACAGCGTGAACTGGTGCCTACCCGACCAGCAGAGTGTGGAGGTGCTGGATGGGACCAAAGGAAAGCTGGACGGGTAAATAGACCCGTTCCTAATGTTTGCATTGTTGTTTGTTTGTTTTCTGCAAGCCGTCAGTCCAAAAGCGTGTCCGGTCCTGGTCCTCGGCGCCTCTGTTCTGCTTTTAGATGTTTCTCCTGGTTCAGTGCCCTAAATCTCAGTCTGTTAATGAGCTTTTTGATTTAACCAGATCTTTCAGAGCAAAGATGTAGGACGGTGCGCTTCGAGGACCGGGTCTGCTCGCTTTAGAGGCTGCAAGTCTTAGAAGAGCGTTGAGCCTTCTAAATTCTCATTCATGTGACGGAAAACGTTTTTCTGCTTTAATACCAAACTAAAGCTTCTCCAAACGTTTCCCTGCAGGAACAAACAGGCCGTGTCCCGGGTGTCCAAGTCCAACCTGTTCGGTCTGTTCCGCCAGCTGTGCCAGCGGTGCAGCCGCCCAGACCTCCTCAGCCTGCCCTCCTACGCCCAGGCCAAGATGTCGGCCACGTCCTTCCAGCTGGCCAAGCAAATGTTCTTCAAAGCTCTTAGCGTCCACGGCTACGGAGCCTGGATCGGCAAACCGCTCGAGGAGAAGAGTTTCGAGATGGCCGACGGAACCAGGAACAGCGATGCGAGCCTCTTTCTGGGATATGGAAATGTTAAAAAGGAGGGGCCGGGGGAGTCGAAGCAGGGAGAGGTGTAGACCGGTGTGTGTGTGTGTGTGTGTGTGTGTGTGGGTGGGTGGGGGGGGGGGGGGGGGGGGGGTCAAATAGGAAAAAGACTCGAAGGCTGGAAGTGTCTTCTGCTGGATGGAGGCTGCAGAGGGGGCGGGGCTGCAGCGTTGGTGAGGTCATAGTGAGGACAGAGCTGGATAAACACGTGCAAAAGGAACGTTTTTTACTTTGAATCGTTGAACGAAGCAGCTCAAATATTAGTTTTTCATTTATGACATCAGAGGTTTCAGTTTGTTTTTGTTCTGTGAACATCGCACCGCCATTTGGACCAAAACCGCGGGCTTCAAGAAGTTTTGGTGAAATTATTTCACTGAATCGTTTTTGTTGTTGGAAACACACCTGGGACAGACGCACCTGAGACGGTCACACACCTCAGACGGAGACACACCTGAGACAGAGACACACCTGGGACAGACGCACCTGAGACGGTCACACACCTGAGACGGAGACACACCTGAGACAGAGACACACCTGGGACAGACGCACCTGAGACGGAGACACACCTGAGACGGAGACACACCTGAGACAGAGACATACCTGGGACAGACGCACCTGAGACGGTCACACACCTGAGACGGAGACACACTTGAGACAGAGACACACCTGGGACTGACGCACCTGAGACGGTCATACGCCTGAGACGGAGACACACCTAAGACAGACACACACCTGGGACAGAGACACACCTAGGACAGACGCACCTGAGACAGAGAGACACCTGAGACAGACGCACCTGAGACGGTCACACACCTGGGACAGAGACATACCTGGGACAGACACACCTGAGACAGAGACATACCTGGGACAGACGCACCTGAGACGGTCACAAACCTGAGACGGAGACACACCTGGGACAGACACACCTGAGACAGAGACACACCTGGGACAGACGCACCTGAGACGGTCACAAACCTGAGACGGAGACACACCTGGGACAGAGACATACCTGGGACAGACGCACCTGAGACAGAGACACACCTGGGACTGACGCACCTGAGACAGAGACACACCTGGGACTGACGCACCTGAGACGGTCATACGCCTGAGACGGAGACACACCTAAGACAGACACACACCTGGGACAGAGACACACCTGGGACAGACGCACCTGAGACGGTCATACGCCTGAGACAGAGACACACCTAAGACAGACACACACCTGGGACAGAGACACACCTGGGACAGACGCACCTGAGACAGAGACACACCTGGGACAGACGCACCTGAGACGGTCACACACCTGGGACAGAGACATACCTGGGACAGACACACCTGAGACAGAGACACACCTGGGACAGACGCACCTGAGACGGTCACACACCTGGGACAGAGACATACCTGGGACAGACACACCTGAGACAGAGAGACACCTGAGACGGAGACACACCTGGGACAGACGTACCTGGGACAGACGCACCTGGGACAGACACACCTGGGACAGACACACCTGAGACGGTCACACACCTGAGACAGAGACATACCTGGGACAGACGCACCTGAGACGGTCACACACCTGAGACAGAGACATACCTGGGACAGACGCACCTGAGACGGAAACACACCTGGGACAGACGCACCTGAGACAGAGACATACCTGGGACAGACACACCTGAGACGGTCACACACCTGAGACAGAGACACACCTGGGACGGATGTACCTGAGACTGTCATGCGCATGAGACGGAGACACACCTAAGACAGACACACACCTGGGATGGAGACACACCTGGGACGGAGACACACCTGGGACAGAGACATACCTGGGACAGACGCACCTGAGACAGAGACACACCTGGGACTGACGCACCTGAGACAGAGACACACCTGGGACTGACGCACCTGAGACAGAGACACACCTGGGACAGACGCACCTGAGACGGTCACACACCTGGGACAGAGACATACCTGGGACAGACACACCTGAGACAGAGACATACCTGGGACAAACGCACCTGAGACAGAGACACACCTGGGACAGATGCACCTGAGACGGTCACACCTGAGACGGAGACACACCTGGGACAGACATACCTGGGACAGACGCACCTGAGACGGAAACACACCTGGGACAGACATACCTGGGACAGACGCACCTGAGACGGAAATACACCTGAGACGGTCACACACCTGAGACAGAGACATACCTGGGACAGACGCACCTGAGACTGTCACACACCTGAGACAGAGACATACCTGGGACAGACGCACCTGAGACGGAAACACACCTGGGACAGACGCACCTGAGACAGAGACATACCTGGGACAGACACACCTGAGACGGTCACACACCTGAGACAGAGACATACCTGGGACAGACGCACCTGAGACGGAAACACACCTGGGACAGACGCACCTGAGACTGTCACACACCTGAGACAGAGACATACCTGGGACAGACGCACCTGAGACGGAAACACACCTGGGACAGACGCACCTGAGACAGAGACACACCTGGGACAGACACACCTGAGACGGTCACACACCTGAGACAGAGACACACCTGGGACGGATGTACCTGAGACTGTCATGCGCCTGAGACGGGAGACACACCTAAGACAGACACACCTGGGACGGATGTACCTGAGACTGTCATGCGCCTGAGACGGGAGACACACCTGGGACTGACCCTCACCTGGCAGGATTTAAAGCTCAAAACAAGCCTTTAGGTGTTTTTTAATGGTGACGGTGACTCCTCCGGCTTTCCAGCAGTATAAAAGACACCTGGTGGGAAATCCTTTGATACGATTCTAAGACTTTTTGAGTTTACTTGTTAACTTCAGATTAGTTTTGTTTTTCTTCAGGATCGCTGACAGATCTGCACAGAAACTCATGCAAATGTTTGTTTTTGCACCGTTTTAAAGAGTGACCCATTTAAAATCCGACATAAATGACCTTTTTACAAAAGTTGTTCTAACTTTATTTAATTAAGTAAATATTTGGGATGTTTTTTGTGTTAAATGTGGACATGGATTCCACTCACCGAGTGACCAGAAGGCCTTCGATTCACATGGCTACATGTGCTTCAGTGACGCTTGGTTTCTCCGTTTGCCGTGAAACCGGTGACAAACGTTCTGCAGATAAACGAGTCAACATTTCAGATGTTGTTCCGTTAGTTCAACTTCTTGAATTGATTAACCGAGATTTCCCGCCAGTCGTTTTGCTTTTATAAAAGGTTTCTACGCACCAACAAACCAATCTCATCGTTAGTAGAGGCCATGTAGATCGGAGCTGCTCGTGCGACGGTGGCAGGATTTAATTTGTTCCGTTGCTTTTGGCCACATCGGTCTCCTTTTAAGCTGCTGTCAAAAGATGTGTGTTGAGCCGAGTCAGCGCGGCGCTCCGCGGCCCAGCCGGTGCCGTAAATACAAACGTTTACTGTAAACAAGATCAACTTTTACAGATCAGCATTTTAGTCTCCAACGCTTCAGCTCCTGTAACCACCGACTTACACCAGCCGGACAACACAAACCGACTGGAAACGGTCCCATCGCTCCACTTCCTGTCGTCATGGTTACTGTCGATGTAGCATACGTCCGTGCAGCCCTTCCGATCGGCCCCGCTCACCTGTGATTATCACGAGTTTTTGTATGGGTGTACTCTCGTTGACGTGTACGGTTTCTGTTTCCACGGCTCGAGTGAGTTTTGACCGTTCCTACGGGATTTTATTTGTTCTCGTCTTCTCGTGGGTCGTCGTAGGTTTCTCACATGCACTTCCTGCGTTTTGCTTCGTAAAGATACGTTTGTCGGGTCTTGATGCGTCAGAAGGATGTTTTTTTAATTTTTTTTTTTTATCTGTTTTCTCCTTGAATTAAACGACGGTGAAATATATACATCAGCTGTACACAAACACACACACACACACACACACACGCAGATGTGCAGTGGGATTGAGAGGTCTGGTTTATCAGACGCTGAATCACTAACTCATATTTTCCAGGTGCAGCGGGGAGGTTCGTTGTCTGGTTGGTTGCTTTTACGTCACTGTAAAGAAAAACGGTGATTTTCTTATACAAGCAGTGAGAAGCTATGCAAGTCTGCAGCTGGATGTAGCTTTGATGACGTTTAGTAAGAAAAAGGTTTTGAACTTAATTCGTTCTTCTGACATTTAGCTTGAACCAGAACTAACGGTTGTCTAACTCGGCAACAGATGCTTCGGATTGAAGTCCGATTCCTGGTGACGGTTTGTGTTTTCAGACCTCTGAACCCCACTGTGAAGGGAAATTCATCCCTTTGAGTTTTTATGCCGCACACGGAGCTCTTGTGTGTGCGTGTGTGTGTTTGTGTATTTTTTATGTATATATTTATATATATATTTATATATGTATCTTGTAAATGATCCAAAAACCGCTTTCTTATTTCTTTGATGTTTGATTTGTTTTTCAGTGGAATAAAGTTTTGATTAAATAATAAATGAACAATCTGTTGAGCCTGTGTGAAAACATGAATGACGTCATGATAAATTATTTGCAGAATTCATAATCCAGAGTTGCAGGAAGCACTTAGTTTCTCTTTCAGACTAAAGCAGGAAAGGGAATTTTATTTTGACAGGATAAAAAATGGGAAAACCCGATTGTCGTGTTCTGGTGAAGCTGCTTGCACCGTTCAGCAGATGGAGATGTGCACACAGATAAAGCTGTGTGTGTGTGTGATCTAGAATTATGAGACTACCATGTGTGTTTGGAGCCCTTTTCAGGTTTGGTTGGTTTGTGTTTTCCAAATGGCACAAGCCTCTCCCAAAAGGTTGATTTTTCTAGAATTCAGGATTTTCTCTTTGCTCCGTCCTTTTGTCCAGCACTCATCCAAGGTCGGATCATTAAAGGGATCAGTTGGTCCAGGGGATACGCGCTCCGGCTCCTTCTAGGGATCCAAAAGCTTCCCCGTGACAAAGACGATGTAATAATCACTCCACTGCATCTGGGTGTCCTCCCAGTGGAACATCCCTAGAAAACCTCTGGAGGGAGCAAGGGCGCCCCCAAGGGGTGGCCATGGCCACCCCTAGAAAA